AGCTGTACAATGCATTTTTCAGCCTATACACATGATCAGGATGGTGAGGATCCACAAATCCCTCAGGTTGCTTAACATAAGCTACCTCTTTAAGAAAACCATTCAAAAACGCAGACTTCAAATCCATTTGATAAATAACAAATTTCAGCAAACACGCAATTGACAAGAACATTCTAAAAACCTCAAGGCGAGCAACAGGTGCAAATGTTTCATCAAAATCAACACCCTCTTCTTCGGTGTAACCCTGTGCAATAAGATGAGCCTTATTTCTAGTGATCTCCCCTGATTCATCCGTCTTATTTTTAAAAATCCATTTAGTTCCAATTAGGGATGTCAATGGGGACCCGATACCCGATTACCCGTGGGGAATTCTTCCATTAAAAGACGGGTATGGGGGGGATTTTGTCCCCATGGGGGGTTAAATGGGGGAAAAACCCTCCCCATCGGGTCTGGCGGAGGCGGGTATGGGGAGCCTCCCCCCGAACCCGATTACCCGTGGGGGTTACGCAACACCTATACTTAGAACTTAGAAGTATAGTGGCTTTCGAACCTGCTCTCTTTTCAAGTTTTATACCGTAAGATGAAAAGGCCCATAAGAAATAAGCCCAACATCTCAGCCCACTCATAAGAAATAAGCCAACATCTCAGCCCACTCCAAGTCAAACCCATATATACTCCAGCCGTACTGTTCTAGGTCTCCAACTCCAACCCTTCACTCTCCCCGTCTCCCGAGTCCAGCAGCCGCCGGGGCGAGCGAGTAGCGACGCACGCCCACCATCTCTCCTCTCCTCCCTCGACCCTCTCGCTCAGATCCATTGTCCTCGCCGGTCGTCCCTGTGCCATGGCTTCGTCCCTTGAGCAGGCACCCATGACTAGCACTGATGGTGACGAAAGAAGGTGAGGATATATTCAACATTATGTAATCCCTAACTCTAACCTTTTGTTCGTCAATTTATGTTTGATTTCATGGCATTGCTCGATCTGTACTCTTCCCTGCGTGTTTTTATTCACTAACCCCCATCCCCACGAAGGG